TTTTAGTGTGCAGTTCTGTGAATTTTGGCATATGCGTACAACTGTAGAACTACCACAGTCAAGATACATAACAGTTAAACACAACCCCGTCCCAGTTCCTTATGTCCTTTATATTCAGTTCCCGGTCCAAGCTCTGAACATCTGTTTTCTACCATGGTAGGGTTGCTTTTGCTTTTTTACTTTGTATGCATTTTAAGTTCATTATTTTTATACATTTTTTCTTTATTTTTTTGACAGCTTCATACATCTATACAATGCACCATGGTTCTATTCACCCCAGTTGCCCTCTGTTACCCCCCTTTTTTTCTCTTGCCCAAGTAGTCTCCCAGTGGCTACACTATTAAAGAAAATGATACCCTCCAGCAGCCATTAACAGACAGTCGCTAGGTCAGGAAAGGATGGGGCCTCGTGGTTCCCTCCTCCATCCATGGTGGAATGCGGAAAGGCCTAATTTTGTGCGGGTCTCCATGGCTGCTGTGTGCTAATGATCGCAAGGGCCACATCGTATCTGGATATCTGGATGGTAGCGATTGCAGCACTCCTTCCTGTCCTTCAGCAGTGGTTATTGTTTTTGTTTGAGAGTCTCCCTGTAGATCCAGCTGGTCTGAACTTGCTATGTAGACCAGGCTGGCTTCAGTCTCAGATCCACCTGCTTCTGCCTCAGCTCAAAGGTGATCAAAGGTGTGTATACCATGCCTGGCCCCATCGTCCATCTCTTAAATTATTTTTGCTTCCTCTTCTCTGATATTTCTTAGGCCTTGAGAGGTGGTCGGGGGTAATGTAGATATCCAGTTTAGGGCTAAGCTCTCAATAGTCAGCATATTGACCAGATAGGAGTCTCTGTACTAACCGTTGATACGAGTCTCTGTACTAACCGTTGCCTTCTGCTGGAAGGAGCTTCTCTGCATAAGCCAAGAGCTGCACTAGTCTGTTGTGAGGACACACATAGATACTTAGAAGGTAGTTTGACATGTACATTTGTGACTGATAATCTCTAAAATAGCTGTTCCACTCTTGCACCAGTGAGGGTGTCTTGCCTGGAGGATTGGTCCTATAGGATGCGTGGTCTGTAGCAGTGAAACCATTGGTGACTTCCTCCTTCAGCCCTGTCTGGCACTGTGCTCACTATCCAGCAGCTAGGGACTTTTTAGCTCAGTTCCAGTTTGATTTCTCTTTGTCCTACAGCATGTAGGGTTGAAACAGCTTTGATAAGCAGATAGTTTGTATCTCACCACAATTAAAGTATGGAAAATTCCATCATCTCCCAAATGACTACTTTGAAATCAGCCTTTTCCTCTAGTGAACTGTTCTCTATCTCTATAACATGCTTGGTTTGCCTTCTTTCACTTAGCAAAATATATTTGGAATTTGTTTGTTGTTTTGTAGTCCTTTAGTGTTCCCTTGTATTGACTGAAACCATTGTTACCAGTTGAAGGACATTTGGATTCTTTCTGGTTTTTGACACTTAGGCATAAAGTTGCTGTAAACATTTGTATACAGGATTTTGTGTGGACAGACTTTCATTACACTTGTATGAATATCCAGAAGTGGATGGCTGGTTTGTATTGTATGAGTATTTTAAACATTACTAGAAACTGTTGCTAAATTGCTTTCCAAAATTGATACACCATTTTATATCCCCAGCAACATGTATGAAAGTTCATTTGTCCACACCCTGACAGCATGTGGGATTAGGTGCTTTTGATTTTGTTTTAGCCATTCTGGTATGTGTTACAGTATCTTGTAGGTGTTTTAAAATTTCAAGTTTTTCTTGTTGAATTACAATAATTACCTGCCTGGGCTTAGATATCAGTTGTCTGATAGAGGTATACCAAGTGTGCAGCTCACCATGCATTTTGTACCTGATTTTTCTTTGCCAGGGTTAGAACCCCAGATTCTTGCACATGCAGCCCAAGTACTGTGACACTGAGCTGCATTCCCAGCCACATTTCAGATAATTTTGAAGGGCTAGGGAGGTAGCTCAGTGGTAGATACTTGGTTACATGTGTAAGAATCCTGGATTCAGTTCCAGTGTCCAAAAAAAAACAAAACAAAACAACAAAAACAACTTTGAGGTAAGTTTGTTGAAAGAAACTTACTTCATTTGGAGCAGTGAGGTGATTCAGTGGGTGAAGGTACTTGCTGCAAACCTGATGACCTGAGTTTAATCCCAGAATCTGCATGGTGGAAGGAGAGAACTGACTCCCACAAGTCTGACCTCTTCACATGGCTATGCAATCATATTCTCTCTCTCTCCCTCTCTCTCTCTCTCCCTCTCCCCCCCCCCCCCCCCCCCTCCCTCCCTCTCCCCCTCTCTCCCTCTCTCCCTCCTCCCTCCTCCTTCCTCCCTCCTCTCTCCTCATCCACACATGGCTATGGAAACACACTCACATATAAAAACACCCACGTTTGCTATTTTTGAGACAGGGTTCTCCCTGTAGCCCCAGCTGTCTTGGAACTTTTCTTTGTAGACTAGGCTGACCTCATCTTACAGAGATCCCCCCACCTCTGCCTCCTGAGTGCTGGGATTTAAGACATGTACCACCACGTCTGGCTGTTACATACATGCACTCTTTTTTCCCTAAATTTTTTAAAATTATTTTTATTTTATGTGTATGCGTGTATTGCCAGCATGTAGGTAAGTGCACCCATGTCGTGCAATGCCAGTGGAAGACAGAAGAGTGTCAGATCCTCTGGGACTGGAGTTATGGACAGTTATTAGCTGCCATGTGGGTGCTGGGATTCGAACCCATGTCTTCTGCAAGAACAACCAGTGTTCTTAACCACTGAGCCATCTCTCCAGCCCCTATACACGCACTCTTAATGGATAATTTTATTAAAAACTTTCTGACTCCTTACAGAATAGTGATTAGATATACTGTGTATCAGGCAGTGCTATAATTCATTTTTTACTGTGAGTTAAGTTTACTTTGAGAGTTTAAATGATGAGATGAGCTAGTTATATACTATATACTAGATTCATCTTGACAAAGATGTGGTACTGACAGTAGAAAATCCCGAATAGGAACAACTGCCCACATCAGGAAGGAATCGCCCATCAACAAAGTTTCTAGATTAAAAACAAAAATGGCTGAAAACACTGCTTTTTACCCAGGTCATGGCTTTAAACTTTAATCAGTACAAGAAAAGCTTCAGTGCTTTAGAAACTGAGTATGATAAACCTCTTATTTCTCTTTTAATCTGTAGCTCCTTTTTTTCCCTCTGCATTAATTCATTTGCTGAAAAAGTTGGGTTGTGTGTCCTTTTGCATCCCACGTTTGGCTTGTGCTGAGTGACTCTTGTAGAGCAATTCTGTGTTTTCCTGTCTTTAAATTGGTAATTGAATATAGGAGGATCTAGTAACTTGATCAGATTTAAATAGTTTTTTTTATTTTACTTTCTATTTTTTATTATTTATGTGTGTCTTTTCTTATTTTATGTGTATGAGTGTATTGCCTGCATGTGTAAGTGCACCCGTGTCATACAATGCCCGAGGAGGTCAGAAGAAGGTGATGGATCCTCTAGAACTGGAGCTACACAGTTGTCAGCCACCATGTGGGTGCTGGGAATCAAACCTGGGTCCTCTGCAAGAGCAGTCAGTGCTCTTAACCACTGAGCCATCTCTCCAGCCCCTAAAGTTTTTATATGTTGATTTCCTAGGTGAGGTTTGAATGTGTTCTAGCAGGAGACACATAATGCCATCCGTTCGTTCATCTCTCTGTTGTTCAGCTGTTCTGATTAATCACAGCTTTAACCACTTAGAAAGTTTTGCAAAAATGAGACAGTGTAGGACTTCAGATAGAAACTTTTGTTCCTAAGTTTGTGTTTAAGTTTTGATTATTTTTGTACTGTTTCTACAATTGGGAAGGTCAATTTCCTGACAATGTTTCTTTCTTTCTCTTTTTTTTTTTGTCTTTTTGAGACAGGGTTTCTCTGTAGCCCCACCCAGCTGGCTTAGAACTCGCTATGTAGACCTGGCTGGCCTCAAACACACAGAGATCCACCTGCCTGTGTCTCCCAAGCTCTGGGTTAAAGGCGTGTGGCATCACATCCAGCTCAGTGTTTGTTTCTTTTCTTTTTTCTTTTTAATTTTTTATTATATGTGTATGCATGTATTGCCTGCATGTAGGTAAGTGCACCTGTGCCATGCAGTGCCCTCGGAGGTCAGAAGAGGCTGTCGGATCCCCTGGGCCTGGAGTTACAGACAGTTGTTAGCTGCCATGTGGGTGCTGGGATTCGAACCTGGGTCTTCTGCAAGAACAACCAGTGTTCTTAACTGCTGAGCCATCTCTCCAGCCCCCTCAGTGTTTGTTTCTTTATCTGTGAAATGGAGATGTTGATCCCTATTTTTAAGATTGTTTGGAAGATTAAGTGAGCTACTGTATAAAAGAGAACCTCCCATAGAGGCTGGTATGTAATAAGTGGTCAGTAAATGTTAGCTACTGTCTTAGGAATTAGAAAATATTCTGAGGGGCTAGAGAGGTGGTTGAATAGCCAAGTGTATACTGCTCTTGCAGAGGACTAGAGTTCAGATCCGGTACCCATGTTAGGCAGCTCATAACTACCTGTACTTACAGCTCCAAGGGATCTGATGCCTTCTTCTGGCCTCTGTGAGCACCTGCTCTCAGGTGCACATACCTTTACACAGAGACACATACATACACATAATTAAAAATAAACCTTTTTTAAAAAAAGAAATTTGAAGCAATCTAAAAGGTAGATTGTCTTGATTATTGAGGAAATTTAAAATTGGACGCCTAATTTTTAACTCACTTATTTTTATTTTAGGGGAAAAGCAAGTAAAATATTTAACCAAGTAGAGTGGCTCTTGGTTGCCCCCATCACTGTTAAGTTGCATTCAGTAAGCACCATAGTGACCTTTCTGAAGGGGTTTTTGCTCATGCATCTGATGGTGGTTTGAGTCAGATTTAATCTCCAAGTCTACCGAGAATGCTTCTCTTCTTTTTTGGGAGCTTATTGTTAATGTTTTTATCTTACAGTGTAATGTTCAAGCCCAGAAATGCCGTATGTGGATCGGCAGAATCGCATTTGTGGTTTTCTAGACATTGAAGAAAATGAAAACAGTGGGAAATTCCTTCGACGGTATTTCATACTGGACACTAGAGAAGACAGTTTCGTGTGGTACATGGATAACCCACAGGTTTGTAAAAGCCGAAAATATCTGCTAACAGCATAAAGAGGTTTTACTTATTAGAGTATTTGACATAGGTTATGAGATTTGTCTTCTTAAATAGTGTATATCTAGATTTATTTCTACTGGTTCAACTTTGTCTGCCCTGTTTGTTTCCATGACCCGTATTGGTCTCATTTGTACTTCTGAAGGTAAAATCAGGTTTATTTGATTAAAATTAAAATTTATGGGGGCTGGAGAGATGGCTCAGCAGTTAAGAGCACTGACTGCTCTTGCAGAGGACCCAGGTTCGATTCCCAGCACCCACATGGCGGCTACGAACTGTCCTTAACTCCAGTTCCAGGGGAATCTGAAGCCCTCTTCTGACCTCCTCAGCATTGCACGACATGGGTGCACTCATTTACATGCAGGCGATACACTCATATACATAAAATAAAAATAATAAAATTTTTAAAAAATTAAAATTTATGGTCAGATGTGGTGCATGCCTTTAATCCCAGCACTCAGGAGGAAGGGGCAGGTAGATCTGTGTGTTTTCAAGGCCAGCCTGGTCTACACAGTGAGTTCCAACCCAGCTGGGGCTACAAGGAGATCCTTCTAAAAAAAAAAAAAAAAAAAAAAAAAAAAAAGAATCTGCATACATGTTTTATCCCTCTTGTGAAGGAAATACCTGGCACAAAATTTTTGACTCATAATTGATTTAAGATGCTAAACGTAGGCTTGAGAATATTGCCTTTTGGTGAATAAACTTCTCAGACTCCTAGCTACTCCTAGACATATGTGACTCCTGAAATCATCGTGTCAGTGTGGTGAGTCTGTGACCTGATATGCATTTTAATTTTGTTTCCTTGCAAATAATTGGGATAAATGTAACAAGTTGAAAAGAAGCCTAGTTTTAGGGACTGGAGAGATGACTCTGTGTGTAGGTGAAGGCGCTTGAGAGTGAGTGGATCCTGGAATCCCCACGATGGAGGAAGAGAGCAGACCCCGCAGCCCTTCTTTACCTCCGGGCCTGTGACATGGCATCCCCCGCCCCCCAACAAAAGACAAAAGATCCTAGTTTTAAGACTGTGAGAGATCTGAAATTAGAAGTCATCTATTGAATAGTTTAAATTTTCCCTACTTGTAGAACTGTTTGTTTCAAATAAAAACTGTTATGAAAGCCAAAAATGGAGAACAGGAACTTTTAGGAAGGTCATGTTTCACACAACCAGAGCCAGATCCCCTCATACCTAATTCAGTAATCTTCATTACCCGTCACTTCTGACTAGCCACGTGTATGCATGTTAGTATGTGAATTTTTATTTATACAGACTTGGAGTTTGCATAGACCCTTGGTGTTAATTCCCTCTCCTCCTTAATGAAGGAAGCTTCTATCCCAGTTCCTCAATTTAGATGTTGCTTGAATTGCTCGCTGCAATTATATTGTCATCTGTCAATTATTACTTTCGTCTGCAAGTGAAAATCCAGTTCCTTCTACCCATTAGTCCTGACTTTGTCCTCTGACTCCCTATCAGGTAGGTTTAGTCCTTTATTTTCAGGCAGCCTTTGACATTTGGGAGGATGAGTTCATTTTAGTCAGTTTGTAATAACTGCGTACTGACTTTGTAGGAGACTTCTAGCTGTGAACTGCATTCTCTCTCGCTGCGGCTTAGTGACACCTTGTTTTACTTCCTTACTTCTCAGTCTACAGACCTTTCTTGGAAGCAGCTACCTGGCTGGGCAGCCACATGATTATTACCATTATTTACTTGGTCTGTGTCAGTGGAGAAATACCAGGGCAGCAGAAATTAAAAGTTCTTGTGGATTTTTTTTTTTTTTTTTTGGTCTTTTTGAGACAGGGTTTCCCTGTAGCCCCAGCTGTCCTGGAACTCACTATGTAGACCAGGCTGGCCTTGAACTCACAGAGATCTGCCTGCCTCCGCCTCCCGAGTGCTGGTATTAAAGGTGTGCACCACCACACCTGGCTTATGTGGATTTTTTAACATATAGATTTAATAAAAGGGCAGATTCCTGCCCTTGGTGGTCTTGTGTCTTTGGCTGGGCCATGATTCCCTTCTAGGTACAACTAGATCTTCTTTGACTCCCTCTAATCACTCCAGAGCCAGGGCACACATTGGCCAGTTTTTTTCCCTGATTGGCCTCTCTTCTCAGGGACTTGGGGCCTTACATACAGTTTCACCTGAATTCCCCTTAAAACTCCTTATTTTTCATTCTCATGCATCATGGATTCTTATAATTCTCCCTTTTACCAGTCCTTCCCCCTTAGCAGATACAAAGAGAGAAGTGCAAAATAGAATGTTTATTACCCCGTATGACGCATGGACCTGGAATACAGAAGGAGGTGTACCTACTTCAAGCAGAGGGAGGTGACATCATCATGGAGTTGATGACGTTTAAAATTGATCTGGAAGACTGGATATGGTTTTGTCCCAGAGGTGGGCGAGTGGCTGTTCCAGTGCTTTGCCCCGGCCTTTCCCATAAACTTACTTGTTTTGTTTTGTTTTTTGAGATGGGCTGATTTAGTCCAGCCTGGCCTTAAACTTTCTAGTACCAAGGCTGTCCTTGAACTCTTGCTTTTTTGAGACAAGGTCTTCGTGTAGCCCCAACGGAACTTGCTGTATAGACGAGATTGTCCTCGATCTCACAGAGCTTCTCCTGCCTCCACCTCCTGAGTGCTGGAATTATAGGTGTGCACCTCCACACCTAGTTCATATGAACCCTTTAAAATCCATTTGTCCCTTTGTAATTAGTACTTTGATTTTTCTGAACATAGTACAGAATTTTAAATCTTTTTTTTCGGTTCAAGGCCAGGGGTGGTCTAGCACACCTTTTATCCCAGCACTGGGGAAGCAGAGGCAGGTGGATCTCTGTGAGTTCAAGATCACTCTGGCCTACATAGTGAGTTCCAGGCCAGCTAGGGCTACAGGGAGACCCTGTCTCAGAAAGAACAAAAAAATAAAATAAAGTAAATGATCTTTAAAAAAAAAAAAAAAATCTGTTCTAGTTGTGAGGAGTTGATTTATGGCCGTCAGTGTTTGGCTAAGGAAATCGGTAATGATGGAGAATTAAATGAGTACACTAGGAAGTGATCTTGAAGACTTGAAAAAGTTGAGATTTGGCAAAATGAGCTGAGGAATTCTCACGTAATATACAGTTTATTTCCTTTTTGAAACTCTTGAGTGTCATAGTAGTTTATTTCTTGCTCATTGTCAAGTAACATTTTTCAAGCTCGGTATTTCTCCCCAGTTGAACTTGACAGCAGTCACACCAGTACATAGACACTGGGTGTTTTGAATATGCTTTCTTTTCTGCTGTGAAGCTGTTTAATCTACGGTCCTGTGTAGCATGTTTTGGTTTCTCATTTTTCTTCCTCATCTTGGAGGCCTATCCAGCCGATTAAAACAGTGGACTTCTAGAAGACGTAACAGTGTCTTGAACTGAAGGGTGGTAGTGTTGGATGTGTTCACTGTGGTGGGCACTGAGGATTGCTGGAGATATTTTCATATTTCTTTTTGTAACCCCAAGCTTCCAGAAATTTTAAATAATAAAAAAAAAAACTTTAACAGAAAACATGTATGAGACTACAACCTTTGAAACTTAAAAATGTTATAATTTTATTTTACATACATATTTTCTTTATGATCTGTACTTCAAATTTTTTACATGGCATATAGTTTAAAGCAGACCATAATGTGGTTTAATTGTATATAGGAGTGAAAATGTTTTGAAAAGAATGGGTCCTGCCAGTGATTACCAGTTCAGGTTTGAGAATCTTAATTGAAATGTCTAAGCTTCCAATAAGCTTAGAAGTTTGAAGAAGGTACTTGCCAGTCACTCACTAGAAAAAGCATATAGGTTTTGTTTTGTTTTTTGTGTTGTTATTTTGATTTTTTTGTTTGTTTCTTGAGACAAGGTCTTACTATATAGCCCTGGCTGGCCTGGAATTTGCTTTGTAGACCAGTCTGGCTTCAAATTCACAGAGATCCACCTACCTTTGTCTCCTGAGTGTTGAGATTAAAGGTGTATACCACGTCATCTGCCTTACAGGTTTTTTTAATTTATATTATTATAAAGTGAGGTAAAAAGTTGATCCTGCATATCTAGCATAGGTGGTTGTCAAAGTTACGACTGTTTTACTAAAAGACTGTGTTTATTACTTTTTTCCCATTTTTCTTATGTGGCTTAACTCCCCTACAATGCAGTCAGTTTATTATAGTTCAGGATATGTTAATTAAATCAGTTTTGATAATGAGTCTTCTCATACGCCTTTTCATTGGTTTCAAAATTTTCCAGCAGTGTAAATTTCTTGATTTTTTTTTTTCTGTTTAGATCTTCCAAGACTTGGTTCTTGACAAGTTCCCAAACTGCCATTCTCAAGGTGGCATGTGGTGGCTTGTGGTGGCTTGTTATTGCTTATTGTTGCTGCTGCTGTTCTGCGAAACTGGGGACTGAACCTAGGGCCTCATGTGTGCTATGAAAGTGCTCTACCGACAGAGCTACATTCCCAGCTCATTTGGTTTTGGTTACCTTGTTTGTTTTGGGCTGTGTTGGAATCAAATTCCAGGTCTTGTACATGCAGGTGCTGTACCCCAAAGCTCCATCCCTTGCTCCCAAACAGCCGTTCTCCACTCCAGCTGAACACCACCACTTTTGTATTCATTGCCAACTGCTTGGGGAAAAGCTTGCTGCCTCAGCCTGAACTCTCCTTCTCCTGTCTTTGTGTTTCAGTTTTTGTTTTAAAGTCCAGTTTAAACAGTGTTCTTTCCTTCCTAGTGTTTCCTGATAGTCTCAGCCAGAAGCCATCCTTGGAATTCTTTACTTAGTTCTTTGATGATACAGACACATTCCAAACTTAATAAAAATATTTTGTTCCAGTATATGCATTTCCCTTGCATAAGCTCTAAAGAGAATCACTTAGTTGCATGTGGTGGTGCACATCCGTAACCCGGCACTTGAGAGGTGGAGGCAGGAGAATCAGGAGTTTAAGGCCAGCCTGGGCTACATGTGACCCTGTCTTAAAACAAACAACAACCAAATAATAATAAAAATTTTTGAAAAAGAGAGTAAGTTAAAATTTTTGAAAAAAGTAGCAAAGCAGATTTGGGCATAACAAACATTTAAATGATTTAAATGAGAGAAAAAAGCCAGTATTTAAAGAGATCTGTTTGATAAGTTTTACTAGAACATGGTAGTATGTATAGTGTTTTCAAACTTCTTATGATTGTATTTGTTTTATGTCTCTAAATATTTCCTCTATTGCTTTCATGAACAAAATCTGATCTTATTTATGACTCTTTAAACTCATGAAAAAGAATATTAGTTTAGCTGCAAAAGAGAAGCACCTCTTCAGATGTAGACGACATTATGATGTAGCAGATGGGATTTGCTTCGTCATCCAGGTTGTCATTACTTGTTTCTTGCCTTCGGGGGCTAGAATCCAGCCCCACAGATGTTAGACAAGAGCTCTACCACTGAGCCCACCCTCAGTCCTAAACTGTTCTCTTAATGCCCGACCTAGCAAACCCTTAAATTGTATAAAGTTGATTTGTAGAATGTGATAGTATTTTCTTAATATTTTTAGCATATGTGAACTATATTGTAAAATGAATAAGTAATGTTGGCTATTAATATATATATTAATAATTGTTTCTAGAACCTACCTTCAGGATCATCACGGGTTGGAGCCATTAAACTTACCTACATTTCAAAGGTAGTATTTTTATATTATGCTACTTTCTTTACCAGTGTTCTTTGTTTGGTGTTTTCGAGGTAGCATCTAACTGTGTAACCCAGGCTGGTTTTGCATTTTGGATTCTTCTGCCTCAGCCTCCTGATTGCTGGAGTTACATGTGTGACTCTCTCATCAGGTATCATTGTGCTACTTTTGTATGTGAATTGCCGCCCCGCCCCCCTCAGGTGGGAATGAATGGGAGCAGAGCAACTTCTTTCTGTGTCATTTAACGGTGACGGTCCGGCTCCTGTCATTCTGAAACTCAGATCTAATTACTGTGGCTAGGAAATTCCTTGAATTGATAAAATTAGAAATATGAGCTTAAAACTTACAGGATATGGGGGCTGGAGAGACGGCTCAGCACAGTTAAGAGCACTGACTGCTCTTGCAGAGGACTCGGGTTCAGTTCCCAGCATCTACATGTTGGCTAACAACCAATTGTAACTCCAGTTTCAGGAGATCTGATGCCCTCTTCCTGCATGTGCAGGCACTGTACAACATGGATGTACTTACATGTAGGCAAAACACTCATACACATAAAATAAAAATAAGTAAATATGCTGGGCATGGTGCCATGCACCTTTAATCCCAACACTCGAGAGGCAGAGGCAGGTGGAGCTCTGTGAGTTCAAGGCCAGCCTGATCTACATAATGAGTTCCAGGACAGCTGGGGCTACAGGGAGAC